TGGCAAAGTAAAAATTTACTAAATGTACATTCTTACCTACTTTCACATAAGGAAAGACATTTCAATTCAGTAAAAGCAGAGAAAGGATTGGTGTCCTGAGTAATGAATCAACTTCTCTTTAAAAATTATATCGTCTCACCCTGCCTGGGTGGCTCAATTGGTTGAAGCCTCATCCCATACACCAAAAGGATGAGGGTTCGATTCCCAGTCAGGGTACATACCTAGGTTTCGGGTCAATCCCCAGTCAAGATGTATATGAGAGGCAACTTATTGACGTTTCTCTCTCACATGGATGTTTCTCCCTCCCTTTCTCCCTTCCTCTCTCTCTCTCTCTCTCTCTCTCTCTCTCTCTCTCAAAAATAAATAAATAAATAAATAAAATACCCGCTCTGTATCTTTAGTAGTTTTTAGTCATTAAAAATCTAAGTTAAATGTTAGCCTCTCCAATAAATACAACTGGGAGCCATTTACCCTGTTTCCTGTTTTGATTTCTACAACTTAAAAAGTAGAAAGGGGGGATGGGGGGGCAAAAATGATGTACAATCTTTTAGCCCAGATGTTTCTCAGAATTGCAATTTTTCAGGTTTTAGAAAGTTAAAATAGTGTATGTGTGTGTGTATCATATATGAACTTAACATGGTTAAGCAATGGTAAATATTTATCACCATGTAACTATAAATACAATATATCTCCAACCTATGACCTCAGTGACCTTAGCCATAAAAAACACAGCAAGCTATACAAATCTAAACACTCTGCCAGAAGCACTCTATCACTAACATCCTTCCCTTAGTCCTGCACTCACTCTACACACATTTCTCTAAGCTGGTTGGTTATGTTTTCCATAGGTAATTTAGAAGCACAACTGTAAGGACTCAAAAAAGTGAAGGCAAGCAGGATGCCCTTCTCCCCATTCCCTTTCCAATCTGTCGTTTCTGATCTGTAGACTGGAAAACAGCACTGTGACAGCACTAAGTGTCAAATGACAATCTGGCACCAGTTCAGTTAACTGCATATTTATTGGTAATCTACTAAGTACTGTGCACTATAGAAAATAATAGAAATGTAAAGATAAATAGGACAAAGTTCTACCTCTTAGGTGCTTACAGTCAGTAGAGGTTATGGTGGATAATGGGTTTGGACAGTAAACTACAATACAGTGTGACACATTCAATGAAGGCAGTATGGCAGAAGGATTTGGGAAGCCAGGTAAGTTTTCATTAAGAAAGTGACACCAGAGCAGAGTTTTGAAGAAGTAGTCCGTCAAACAACAGAGAAGTGATAGTAAAAATACACCCCCCACACACCCACACAGACACATAAAAACATATACATGAAAGCGAGAGAGGAAAATTTTTAGGATAGGTAGCAAACATGTCCAAAATATCTGGTGTGTAAACTTCCTTAGATCCTGAGTGTAACCATATACAACATATTAAAGTGTATCCAGAAAAGCAAAATTTTCAGGGTTTTCTCATGGATAATTCATTACCAAAAAAATAACACTGAAAACCATTTATTAGTTCAAAATGCCCCCTCAGATATACCTGGAGATGTGCATCTGTATTTCAGAGAACAAGCTGTTAGAAAAACATATTAGGAATTATTTTTCCCGATCATCCTAACAGTACAAAGTAAATAAATGAAGAAGCTTGAATATCAGCATGACTTGTCATAAGAGAGGAGTTTTAAAAATTTAAAAGAGGAAGCCAAACAGAAAAACTAAAGTAACAAGAAAATGTATATATACTATTTAAATTGAAGGAAAGGTTCAATGAACAAAACCAAGGTAAAAATGATAACTTTAGAAACTTAAAATACTAATGTCTATTCTATTTATTTTCAAAGACAGACTTTCTACAAGAGACATCAATTTTAGTATACAACTCTTTTTAAAATATCTGGTCAAAGTCACAATGAAATTCATTTAAGTATCACAGGTAGAAATCATCCTTAGTAAGGACAGTCACCTGTATGATCAACCAGAACGACTCCTATCAGCATTAGATCCCTTGACATCAACACTGTATGTAATTCTATTCAAACACTACAGTGTAACTCAGATTAACTCTGCCTGTAAAACTACCCTATCTGGTATGTTGTTTTCTCTTGCTTCTTTGTATTATAAAATCCAGTAGAAGTCTATGTAACAAATAAAATCTTATTTAGTAGTATCTTCTACAACTATTTGCATAAGTTGTCTTCAAATGCCTACTTAAGTCAGCACATGGAAAGTTTGTTTTTATGTAATCATAGAATAAACTTTCTACAGTTAAAAATTTTAAGACAATTAAAGAGCAAAAAGTTGTTAACTTATTTACAAGTCTATTAATGTATATTCATTTCACACACAGACATGAAGTGTTGCTACCTTTTCTTTATTTTTCTATATTATCAGAAAATCTTATGAAACAAATTTGCTACTAAAAAGGGCAAAACTACACTCCCCACAGACTGAAAAAAATTTAAGTTTTTTAAAAATATTAATATCTACTAAAAAGATAAAATCCAAAACTGGGTTAGCAGCACTTCTAAACAAATCTACTCATAAATCTGAAGTATATTTACTTCTGAACAAACAGAATTTTCAGGTTATAACTAACTGTAAAGTACCTCTCAAAAATAAAAAAGTAAATTAATCATCCAAAGTTATTAAGTAAAAACACAGGTAATTGGTTCTCTTGGGGAGGAACATCTGAGTTTTATCTTCAAGATCAAGTACTTTTCAAATGAAAGGAATATAAATCACTCATACACATACATTTTGCCTTGTTTTTCCAACATTTAAGTTTACTTTAAAATGACAGTATTATAGAAATTAAAAGTGTTTTAAGGGTTGTATTTGTTGCTTTTTAATTATACAGGCAACTGTCATTCCCCAAGAGTTATCACATTAGATTATGGATAGCTCTACATAGCATACTTAGAATAAAAGGTTTCTGCCAACGAATAATACCTACATTAACTCATTTTTATTGATGCAGTATTAATTAGGATACAAAAAATGTGCAAGTTTCTCAGTTCCTTTCTAATACAGAAAGTAGTCACAGAAGTCACTGCAATTCAAACCTTCAGAAAAAATTTAAAATTTTTAAAATTAAATGAAGGTCTTAAGAAGTCAAGGAAAAAAGTGAAGCAAAAGTTTGGCCTTTTTACAGTGAATTTTGTATTTTTCCTTATGAATTAATATTGCAAAAGAACTACAAACTAAAGAGGTGTTAAATATGCAAAGCTTACTAAGGATCTTGGTCCATTTGGAAGTATTTCAATAAAACGAGATCAGAAATGTAGACATCTAACTATTTGAATATAATAGACATTTAACCATTTCAATCTACTCTGATTCTTAACCCTTTAAATCTAGAATAAAGTCATCTTCCATAATTGCAAAATAAATGTGTTCACTGACATCTGGAAACAAATGTGGTCATACACAGGAAGTATTCCCTAACAACTCAATATAAACGTGATACACAAATACGTAAATATTTTCAAATTTCTATACCCACCCCCTACTTCCACCTATACTGTTTCAAAGGGCAAATAAAAAGTTGCACTTATTCCAGAGGTCTAGAAATTCCTAATATCAAGCATGACAGGAAATGTGTTAAACTGTGAACTAAATTCAAGTATGGCCTCCCTCGTGAACAGATTTTAACTCAATACCTTCTACCATTTCGCCAAGAATCTAAAGGTTGGTATCAGTGTATGTTTTTTATACTTATTAGAAACCGTCCTGAAGATTAAGAAAGGAGTAGGATCCTTTGATCAAGAGTTTTATGAAAATGACACAAAATGTGTTGCATTCGGTCTTCTGGATGTTGAAAAGTGAAGGCATCTCCTAGGATTCAAAGGAAGTTGATATTTAGGTTCCTTCCGAGAGTGTGGTACCCGTATGTAAGACTTTTATGGTGGCGATACCGTACTCACAAGGGCCTGGAATAAATGCAAATTCTAAAACCTTGGAAATGTTTTTACAAAACTGCAACTCGCATTCAGACTGATCCCTAGTCACGAAGAGCCACAGAGTTTCTCTCCTAGACCGACAACAGAGCCTCAGCTAAGAACTAGAAGGGCCTCTTCTAACCCTACTCATTTCTTCCGTAAAACTTTTAAGTTAGACCCAAGCCAGCAAAAGGTGGAGAGCCCCCGGCGGAAGTAGAAACCCAGGACTAGCAACTTCACAGACTGAAACGTCTCGGGTTCCTCCGCTACCCCAGGACTAACCCGACTCGGTCTCTACCACACCACGGAAGCTTCACCCTCCGGGTGAGGTGGCAGAGGAAGCATCACAGTTGCACTCCTCCTCCCATCATCCAAATCCTTCGGTATCCCAGAGCCCAGAGGCTCCTGAGACCCGTTAGCCAGTCCAATGTCCCCCATCTTTTACACACACATACACACACACACACACACACACACACAAGTTGCAGGTGATGTGCGTGTACTGAGAGAATTTGAACAGCCAGGGGCCAAGGCAGTTTATGGAAAGGCGGCAGCTTATGGGAAGGCGGCAGCGTCGTCTAAAGCGGGCCGGGGTTCCTTGGCCACCGCCGCTGCTGCTTTCTCTTCTTGCCCAGGAAGCAGCGCGGCGCAGGCTCCTCCGCGCTGGCGGGAGCCCTTGAGAGCCGAGTCTGAGGAAAGACCCAGCGCCCACCAAAGGGACCGGGCCTAGGATCCAGGGCTGCTGCGGCGGCGACCCAAGTACCGCGACGCTTTACGTCCTATCCACCACTCTCCCCACACACACCCCCCTCCCTCCCTTCTCTCCCTCCCTCCCTCCACCGCCGCCACCCCCCCTCCCCGCCCGCTCTGCTCTCCCTCTCTCGATTGGAGCCGAGACAAAAGCAACGGGAAGCGGCGGGCCAGGACGCTGCCCGCGGACCCCAGGCGCGACAGGACCGGCCCCGAGGCATTCCCCCGCCTTGCGGGGGCCCCGAATCCGCCGCCCTAGCCGCGCGCCCCGCTGCCAGACTTCCGAAAATTTGCCAAAAACTCACCGCATGAATTTTCTTGTCCCGCGGATCCAAGATGGCGACGTATCCACCGCGGAGGCTGCTGGGAGCAAGACCTTTACCCTCTGACCCCTGCCGTGACCCCCGTCGTTCCGGCTTCCCTCAAGGCAGCGGCGGAAGGTGGGAGAGGCGATTGCCGACCGGACAAGGTTGGGGGTGGGTAGACGGTTTCCCGCGCGTCCGAGAGTGGGTAGGGAGAGGCGCTTCACTCCATCATCCCCCTCCCCGCAGCCTCCACCCTGTCTCCCACCGACTCACCGGGAGGCTCGCAGCTTCTCCGCGGCCGTTATAGCGAGCGGGGCCTCTGCGGCCGCTACGGTTCCCCTGGGGCGGGTTGATTCACATTGGGCACGGGCCCTGGGTGCGAGGTGGGCCGCGGGGTCCAGGGGCGGGGAATGGTGAGGTGGCATGGGTCCGCCCTCCCCGGGGACGCACAGCGTGTTTGTGTTTGTGTTCGTGTTGGACACCCCGCCCCACCCACGTCCTCGTGGAACGCCCCCTTGCCCCAACACCCGAAGCCAGTTGATCGCTGTCCCCCTTTTCTCCGCGCAGCCCCCTCAACCTCAGATGCATGTGCACGCACTTCCAGGGACCGGCAGCACGTCACATCACCTCCAGAGAAGTGAGTTCTCCTCTGCCGAAACCAGTGGTGTTTTCTACTCGCCTCCCCCCTTTTGTTTTAAACTTGGTGGGAGGGAACATATTGGGGAGCAGGTTTTTAAAGCGCTTCTGGGTAAGCTCGCGCTGGCTGAGTTAGAGTTGAAGCATTTTCTCTCGTCCCGAATGACCGACTGGGCTATCAGCAAGGCCGTGGGAATTTCGGTGGCTTTGGTGGAAACAAGGGGAGTGAAAAGTCTCTGCTTTCCAGAAAAGTGATTCAGTGAAATTAAGTTTGTTTTCTTTTAAAGAATAAGTCTATTCCTTTTTATATTGAAAAGCTCTTCCCTTTTGTTGCCACTAGACATTTTGGACTTAAAAAGAGTCTTTACATGTGTGTTTTTGTGGTTGTGTAGTTTCATACAGTGAAAATTGTTATTTCAGTTTGAGTGATGGAAGTTATTAATGTAAAGTGCAGTTTATTTGGAGTTAATAAAATTTCCACTTCCCTTGTTTGTTTCTTTTGTAAAATCACCTTTTCCTTCCAAAAACTCACTGTAATCCCATTTAAAATATATCGTCAAAGGGCAAAGGGCATCTGTCATTCATAAATAACAAAAAATAAAATAAAAGGTGATTTTGTCATGTTTTAGATACTGTGTAAATTAAATTTTGAATGATGCTGACATAGCCAGTAGAAAGTGTTTTACATGATTATTCATTTCATTAAACATTCTGCTTCACTGTGTTTTTGTTAGGAAAGTTCAAGGAGGAACGATTCTTTATTTTCTTCCCTATCTTTTCCCCAGCAGTTCCTTCCCACCTGCCTCTTGAGCTTTCTCTTCTGCTACATAAGATAACGTGTTAAAAAACTGAATCCATCGACAAATAAATGTAATATATACAGTTATATAAATACATGTATATGCATATGTCTCTGTATTAGTAAGCATTTTGACCTGTTAATAATTTGAAAATATTAACTATTAATATTTAGAATCATAAAGTAGAATAATAAATATGAGATATGGACCCTGGCCAGTTTGGCTCAGCAGTTACAGTGTGGGCCCACGGACAGAAGGGTCATGGGTTCGATTGCCAGTTGAGAGCACAAACTTGGGTTGCAGGTTCAATCCCCGGCCCCAGAGGCAACAAATCAAAGTGTCTCTCTCACATTGATGTTTCTTTCTTTCTCCCTTATTTTCTCCCTCCTTCCCTTCTACTCTCTCCAAAAATCAATGGAAAAATATCCTCTGGTGAAGATTAACAAAAGAAAAAAAGAGAGAGAGAGATGGTTTTATATATGTAGTTGCATCAGGTGTTGCTTAACATTTATTTTTATTTTTTATTATTTTCTTAATCCTTACCCTAGGATATTTTTTTCCATTTATCTTCAGATAGAATGGGAGGGACAGAGAAAGAAACATCGATGTGAGAGAGACACATCGATTGGTTGCCTCCTGCAGGATCCCCACCAGGGCCAGGGACTGAACTGCAACTGAGGTACATGCCCTTGGCTGGAATTGAGTCTTTGGTCCATGGGCTGATGCTCTAACCACTGGGCCAAACCAGCCAGGGCTTATTTACCATTTAATCCATTAGTTTGACTTACATACAGGATTTTGTTAAAACCAAAAGATGGACCTTATTAAGCACAAGTTTTAAATAGCATAACCATTGGTAAAATTGAAGAAATCACTTCCAGAAAGGGACAGGTCTAATTTGAGGGTTCTGTTACCTTGAATATTTTACTGAAAGAAAGCAGACATTTCATGGTAAATGTGTGGGGTAGTAGCGCTAGGAAAAATACACTGATACTGTTTCTTTCTTGAGAAAACTTTAGGATAAATTTAAGTCTTGCTGAACAAGTTTGTCCTATTACTGGTGTCCAATCTGTTAATAAATTTGTGAAGCTTGTTTCATGTCTACTTTAGAGGTTGGTTCTAGGTATTAAGTGAACTAACATCGTCCTACCTGATGTGGCTCAGTTGGTTGAGCATCAGCCTGTGCACTGGAAGGTCAAAGGTTTGATTCCGGTCAGGGCACATACCTAGGTTGCAGTTTGATCCCCAGTCTGGTGCATGCAAGAAGCAACCAGCCAGTGTATCTCTCTCTCTCCCTCTTTAAATATCAATAAAAATGTTGTGATGAACTAACATTTGTTAAGAGCTTATGCTTATGTCTTTCTAGTAAGCAGTCTAGTACATTTTTAAATCATCTTATATTATCAAAAAGTTCATTTTTATTGCCAATGATCTAATTTGCCCATTTTGTCTAGTTTTTTTTTAACTATTCACTTTGATGGATTTTCTTTCTTTTATTGAAAAACAGTCCTTACCTTGTATGTGTTTTGTTTGTTGAAATGTAAGTAAATTTCTTATGCATGTTATAGAAAAATTACTGAATTAAAGTGAGAAAAAAAAATTCTTACTGGAAGAAGAAAAGGAGTTTGTAAATAACTAGTTGTAGTTATTTACAAAAGGGAGGCCTCACATTTTTTGAAAGGTGTAGACAGTACTGAAAATCTTACCACGGTAATAGGTAAAAAGGATAAGTATTTCAAATTTAACAAGTACTGCCCTGGCCTGTGTGGCCCAGTTGGTTGGGCATGCACTGAGAGTTCCCTGGTTCAGTTCCAGTCAGGTCACATGCCTGGGTTGCCGGCTCTATCCCTAGTAAAGTGTGTGCAGGAGACAGCCTATTGATGTTTCTCTCTGTCTCTCCCTCTCCCTTCCTGTCTCTTTCAAAATCAGTAAAAACATATTTCAAAAACAATTTTTAACAAGTACTGAAACAACATTTGGATCCAAGCTGGCCTCCCATAAACAATACTGCTAACAAGGAATCTTCTGTGATTCCTCACACTCTATGTCCAATTGATCATCCAGTACCATTAGCTCTTCCTTATATGTAGTCTGAATCCTGCCACTTCTCATGCTGTCCGAGACACCATCATCTCTCACACAGCAATATCCACATTATCTGCTTTTACTTTTCCCTGGCCGCTGCAAATCATTCTGTACATCCAGCTGGACTGATCATTTAAAAAGTTTATTAGGCTATGTTACTCCCTTGTTTAAAAACCATCAGTGGCTTCTCTTAGAATAAAATCAGGTTAATTTACCATGGCCTTTAAAACCATAATCTGGCTTCTGCCTACCTCTCCAACTTCATCTTGTTCTCACTTTTCCTTTCCACTCTGTCATGTACCAAGCTTTTTCCAGTCTGTAGCAGGGGCTGTTATTTGTCCCCTAAAATTTCTCCAATTTTTTTTTGTATTAATAGACATGGGCATGTGCCTTTCCAGAACAAAGACTATATTTCCAGCCTCCCTATAGCCGTGTGGTAGTTCTGGCCGATAAACAGGTATGTCACATGGCACCTTTCCAAAACCATCGTTAAAAGACAGCTGTTGCACACCTTCAGTCCTTTGCTACTTTTCCTTTTATATCCTGAACCAACTGTAGCTGCCAGTTTGGACTATGTGCAGGTTCTTCCAACCTAGGGGTGGCAAAACCTTAAGCTGGAGGAAACCTGCAGCCTTGAGACCTCTGTAGAGTACCATACCAACCCTGTACCCCCTATTGACATAAAGGAAAAAGAGAACTTCTGTCATTAAAGCTACAATTTAGGGTCTCTTGTATTCAATTGAATTTAACTGTTACTCCACAGAACCTTTGCACTTGGTATTTATTTCTGCCTGAGATATGTTTTCTCTCTGTTTATATGGCTAACTCATTCTCATCCTTCAGGTCTTAACTCAGATATTATCTCTAATACTTCTTCCCTGGCCACCATATCTAAAGTAGCTTCTTTTTCCATTTATTCTCTCTCACATGACTGTGTATATATATATATATATATATATATATATATTTTTTTTTTTTTTTTATTGCTTTTTAGAGAAAGGGAGAGGGAGAAGAAACATCGATGAGAGAGAACATCTGTTGGCCACCTCCTCCATGCCCCCCTCTGGGGATTTGGCCCACAACCTGGGCATGTGCCCTGACTGGGAATCTAACCAGTGAACTCTTGGTGCATGGGTCAACGCTCAACCACTGAGCCACACCAGTGGGGCGACTGTTTTCTTGATAGCATTTGTAATTTATCATTATCTATTTATTGTTGTTTCCCTTCTCCCTACTAAAAATAGTAAGTTTCATGAGAACAGGGGCTACATTTGTTTTGTTTACTGCTTTATCCCCCACATATGGTAAAACATTAGATAAGTACTATTGAATGTTTGAGACAGTGAATAAATGAGCCATTGAATGAATGAACTAGATCTTTATCAAAGATTAGGTAGACTTTTTTTTTTTAAGTAAATATCTTGAAAGGTTTCCTTTAACACATGATGTGTAAAATCCAAGCTAGGAAGCAGCTAGGAAAAATAGTGCTAAACTAATAGAATATTCTAAAATTCTAGCCCTTGATAATGAAATATGTACTTTTTTAAGGTTAGTATGGTTGGGGGGAGGGGGGGGGGAGGCATAATTGGTGAGTCAGAGTGGCAAATCAGAAAAAGCACTACAATATAATATCTATGGCAGAAACTCCCACTAAATAGTAGTCTGATTTATTATATAACTTACTAGACCTCATATTCTTCAGCTAAAATATATGAATCTTAAGGTTTGAGTGGTAATATGAAAGTTTAATAGTAAGTTAGACTTATGAGTAATGAAACATGTTACACATTAATTTGGTCATCAGGTGTTGTTATTATTTTAATTAACAATCACTCCTCGGATAAACCTCATTGGCTACAATACTGCCACTGCACAAAGCTTCACGTGTTATTTTAACAAGTGATTAAATTTTGATAATACTAGCAAGGGTTCAGAGAAACAGGGTTTCTTATACTACTGAGAGTATAAATTGGCATATTTCTAGGGTGCACCTTAGCAATATGTATCAAAAGCCTTGAGCATAAGCATTTGACAGGTTAATTCCTCTAATGAAAATGTATCATAAGGATATGTGTAACAACTTCCTTGCCAGAGTGTTCATTACTGCATTGTTCACTAAAATATCAGTTAAATAAATTAAACTACATCCATACAGCAGAACAGTATTCAGCTTTTTAAAATGATATGGAAGTAATTTTATCGATACAGTATATTAAGTGTGAAGAAAGTTTTAAAATACAATTCCAATTTTGTAAAAATTTGTAAGTTCACAAAGGATTAACCGGATATGTACAAGATGTTCATTCAACTTTGCAAAAGTGACTGTTACAGTTTTTATTTTATTTCATAATTTTTTAATTTTCATAGAAAAAATTTTTTGCAAAACTAATTAAAAGGCTATCTTTATCTTTAAAGAAATAAAGTGGACCCCTGGCCGGTTTGGCTCAGCAGTTAGAGTGTTGGCCTGTGGACCAGAATCCCAGGTTTAGTTCCCGCTAAGAGCATGCATGTTGGTTGCAGTTTGTCCTCTGCCCGGGTTGGGGTTGTGTGGGTGGCAACCAGTCTATATGTCTCTCTCACATTGATGTTTCACTGTCTCTCTCCCTCCCGCTTTATCTGAAGATAAATGCAAAAAATGTCCTCAGGTGAGGATAAAAAGAAATAAGTGGATAATTTGGGGAAATAGTACCACATACTCAGTTGCCAAGCTTGATATCTTTTTTCTTCCCTATACCCCACAACTAATTGTCAATTCTTGTATATTTTATCTTCTAAGTATGTCTAGGATCCATCCTTCCTCTCCAGTTTTTCAGCCATTCTTTAATCATTCACTCATAATCTCTCTTTTTTAATTCTCATTCGAGGACATTTTTCCTTTTTTTTTTTTTCAGATAGAGTGGGAGGGGGAGAGAGAGAGAGAGAAACATCTACGTGAAAGGGACACATCGAGTGGCTGCCTCCCTCACGACCCAACTAGGGCCGGGGACAAACTTCAACTGAGGTACGTGCCCTTAGCGGGAACCAAACTCGGGTCTCTCTGGACCGCAGGCCAATGCTCTAACTGCTGAGCCAAACAGGCCAGGGCATAATCTCTTGTTTTGAATATGGTTTTATTGATTTTTTTTAGAGAGAGAGGAAGGGAGAGAAAGATGGAAACATCAGTGTGAGAGAGAAACACCGATTGGCTGTCTCCTGCATGCCCCCCACCGGGGATCAAGCCCACAACCCAGCTATGCGCCCCAAATGGGAATCAAACCAGGACCTCTCAGTCCACCGAACTACACCGGCCAGGCCACTCATAATCTCTTATCTGAACTTTTGAAAGAGATTATTTAACTAGTCTTTATTAAGTTTTACCTCTCTCCAGTCTCAAACTACCACCACCAGTTTCTGCAGTCTTTGAAGACTCCCCTGCATAAATTCTTTATAACAATGCCTCATCACCTAGGATAAAAGTGTAAACTCCTCCTATTCGTGAATTATAAAGATTTTTTTTTGAGACTACGTTTATTAAAGCTGAGGACAGTAAAACAAGGAAGGGCTTACAATACGAGAAGCAACAGGAGAGAGCCTGGGCGGAGCTGGTTTGGCTCTCTAGAAATGTTATAGGAGCCCTGGTTGGTGTGGCTCGGTTGGTTGGGCATCATCCTGTGCTCTGAAAGTTGGTTCGATTCCCAGTTAGGCCACATGCCTGGGATGTAGGGTCAGTTCCCAGTAGGGGGCATGCATAAAGCAGCCTGTCAATGTTTCTCACTTCCTCTCTCTAAAAATCAATTTTAAGATCTTTGAAAAAAAGAACAGTGTTATAGGAAAGAAGTCAGCCAAGGCAGGGCTGTTTTGACTCACTGAGAAGTCAGAGAAAAGAGGACTTTGGAGACAGGTTCAGGGGGATAGCCCTGGAAGAGCTGCCACTGCCCATTGCTCCCCTGGTTGCAAGTCCCTTAGAGTTTAGGAGATGGACACCTGTAAGGGAAGAAGAGGGGGATGGGAAAGGCACAGGCATGCTTCAAGGAGGAAGTAGGCACCATAAACACCTTCCTACATTTGCAACCTCAGGTACTTCTTGTGGTAATATCTCAGTATTCCGTGCGGCTTCATAGTTCGTGCTCTTGCAGTTTTCTTCCCTTAGCTTTAATTCACTTCTTGCTCCCCAAAAAATGTCTTAACAGATTTCTCTGTAGTCTTCTGTGCTGGTTTTAAAAATATGTCCACCAATTCTTTGATATTCTATTCATCAAGAGGTAGAACTTAATTCACTTTCTTCTGAGTGTGTGTTGGTCTTTGTGACTTTCTTCTAATAAATAGAATAAGGTGGAAGTGACTGTGACTCAAACTAGATCATAAAAGGCGATGGAACTTCTTATGCAAACTCTTGAATCACTAAGGGATGCCAGCTGTCATGTCATAGGACATTCGGGCAGCCTATAAAGAACTAAAACTTACCAACAACCACATGAGTAAACTTTACAAGCAAATCTTTGGGCCCCCTTGGGATGACTCCAGCCCAACCAACAGCTTAACTAACCTCACAAGAGACCTTGATCCAGAACCACCTAACTATCCCCTTCATGGATCTGAGATAATATTTGTTTTAAGCTGCTGTGGTTTGGGTTAATTTGTTATGCAGCAATAGATAACTAATACATCTTCCTTCAGGACTCATCTTTTGTGAAATTTTTCTGAACCCGTTTTTTTTTTTCACCTAAGGATCTTATAGAATTGGGTTTTGCCCTTGCCATACAATGAGTTTATTAAGAGCAAGAACTACATCTCACTTTCCCCTTAATGTTTTATACATAAACAAACGTTTTTAGCACTTACATGCCCAGAATTATACTAAAAAGAGTCAGTAGTAACATGATTTGATTGGAGAAAAATATAATTAATAAGTAGTAATAGCAACGGATATAGCAAACATTTAAGACTCATTACTTGTCAGGCACTAGTTTAAGCATTTTATCTATATTATGAAATTCTTACATCTACTTTATGTGCTCTGTGGTACAGACTATAAATTCTCTGCTAGATCAGAAAAGGGAAGTGAGAGAGGACTGGTATGTCAGGGATAACTTCACCAAGTGGCTGCTTAAGTTCAATTTTAAATGACCTAGTTTGAATAGATGTGGATGAAAGGAAGAGACATTTTCAGTGAGGGAAATAACATTAGCAAAGGCAGCTAGGGCTGCCATAACAAAGTACCACTGACTGGATGGCTTAAACAAATTTATTTCCTCACAGTTCTGGAGGCTAGTAGTCCAAAACAGGGTAGGTTTCTTCGAAGGGCCTTTGTCCTTGAGTTATAGGTGGCTGTTTCTTGTTTACATGGTATTCTCTCTCTATTCAGGTCTCTCTCTAAATTTCTCTTATTTGTAAGAACACCAGTCATATTGAGTTAGAGCTTACCCATATGACCCTATTTAATATTAACCACCTTTTAAAGAGTCCTATTTAAATAAGACACTGGAGATTAGAACCTCATAAATTTTGGGGAGGATACAAGTTAGCCAACTCAGAAGCAGAAATGAGCATGGGCCAGTGACTAGAATCAGCCTAAGTAAAGGAGGCTGGTATTTATTGCAGAATTAAGGTGCCAGGATTTTGGAATATTTTAAAATACTGCCAGGCAGAAGAGTTGAAATGGATGGCTTTTGGTAAGTCACTGCTAATCAGTCCATTCCAAGGCTTAGCACCAAAAAGGAAAAAGAAAAGTTAAATAGAATCATTTGTAGCATGTTTTTTCATATCCACTTTTTTTTTTTTTTTTTTTTATCCTCACCCGAGGATATTTTTCCATTTTTTATACAGATAGAGTGGGAGGGAGAGAGGAAGAGAGAGAGAGAGAAACATCGACGTGAAGGGACACATCGAGTGGCTGCCACCCGCACAACCAACCAGGGCCGGGGACAAACTGCAACTGAAGTACGTGCCCTTAGCGGGAACCGAACCCAGGTCTCTCCGGACCGCAGGCCGATGCTCTAACCGCTGAGCCAAACTGGCCAGGGCCATATCCACTTTTTTGTAAAAATTTTTCATTCCTCACCTGATATGTTTTTATTCATTTTTAGAGAGAAAGGAAGGGAGAGGGAGAGAGAAACATTGACGTGAGAAAAACTTGCCTCCCCTACGCACCCCCAACTGGGGATCAAACATGTGACCTTTCTGTGAATGGGACAGTGCTTTAACCGACTGAGAGCCACACCAGCCAGGGCTTCATACATACTTTTATCACCTGATATTATCATTCTCATCTTTCCAATCTAATTTATTTAATTATCTATGAGTCATCTCAGAATTAATGTGATGTAAGTTTTTACCCATTCAAAATCAATTTCATACAATAAAAGTTCTTTTTTCCCACATCATGCAAAAAAATTCAATAAAGTACTTTTTACTCTGTTTTCTCAATTTTGTTGAATGTTTAAATAGATGATTAAGTTGTTTTCTCAATAAAAACACCAATTACTCTATCACGTGTGTGAATTATATTTTTCACTTTAAAAAATAAAATTACTCCCCCAAAAGTTACCAGGTTTAATGAATATATAATAGTAAATTAATTTAAAACTCACATATCAGCCAATACATTTCTTCTGGTAGTGAAAAATTAACTGGAATCTGTTTAAAAGGGAAACATGGATTAAATACTGAATTGACAGAAGAAATGAAAATAATTTATGTGCATACTGTTTCTTGATGAAAGAAACATACAGTAGGTTGATGGAAGAATTATCTGCTTCTTAAATAGTAATGGCCTTAGTGATAACCATTCAAATACTGAATGTTAATAATACATTTTTTAAACTAAGGAATTTATACTTAAAGTGAAAATGCATTCATTGTAAAAGAAAGTGAAGACTGACAACAATGAGACAATAAAGAGTATGAAGTATATAGATCTCAACAAAACCTTGGGCATGAAAGAAACAATCTAAAAATCCCCTACTTCAAACTGATTCTGTTCAGTTCATTAATTCTTGCACTCAGGAACTGTTTTTATGTTTAACCCAAAATTTTTACATTTTATTTTACTTAATCTTTAAAACTGTTCACTTTATAGATTGTTCATGGATGAAATATGAAGCTGAGCAGATTTTTCTACAAAATATGGTATAAGCTTATTTATTTTTCCATCTGATTGCTAATAAACCTTATAGTACAGTTTATAAAATAAACCCCTTAAAGACTGAATGCGTAGAGCATGCTGCAAGTTACAAGAAATAAGCTAAATGAGCATGTAAACCTACCTCCAGATCAATAGTACTGAATGCTGGCAAACATCATAACACAAGAAAAAAAAATTTAGTTTTTCTTTTTTTTTTTTTACTGATTGAATTTAGAGAGAGATGAAGGGAGAAACATCGATTCCACTTATTTAGGCTTTCATTGGTTGAGTTTTGTGTGTATCCTGACCAGGGATCAAACCCACAACCTTGGCATATCAGGATGATGTTCTAACCAACTGAGCTACCCAGCCAGGGCAGGAAGTTTTTTTTAATAAGATACGGGTTAGTCCTGAAAGGGTTAAATAGAAACCTTAATTTATTATTGTTTCTAACCATCCGTCTCACATTGCCTGAAAACAGTCAAAAGTCTGGCACAAAAAAAAATTACACAAATTTGTTCAGTACACATTAGAAACAGCAGCTTTTGAAATCAAAAGTTGGTAACTTGATTAGTTATTAAAAAGGATTTTGTTTCAAAAGGACCCCTGTGTCAATTATCTGGTTAAGCATGAATAGTTAATTGAGTTCTCTAGAAACTTACTTTGAGGATACATGATAGTTTGTTTCATTTAAACAAATAAAACAGTTACAACAAGACTGTACAGTAAGAACAACAAATATTTTACTAATTACATACACCAGGATGCTTTAAATTGCCAAGGCATGTGTTGCTCAGTGGATAGAGCATGGCCCTGCACACTGAATGGTCGAGCGTTGGATTCTTGGCCAAAGGCATGTACCTGGGTTGTGGGTTTCATCTCCAGCCCTGCTCAGCCAGTCAATATGAATACATCAATATCTGTCTCCCTGTCCCTCCTTCCCTCCCTCCCCTCCTTCCTCCCTTCCATTTTCTCTAAAAATCAATGGAAAAACTATACTCAGATGAGGATTAAAAAAAAGGAAAGAAAAGTCAGCAACAGATTAAATATACTAGTATTCAACTCTGAAATCTCAAAATATAAAGGAAAGTCTAGCTCACTTTTCCAGTCTGTTACATTCAGCAGAACTAATAAAAACTTACTGGATCACAAACTCAGCTTCTATACATATTTTTAGAAATTGCATAGAATCATAAGAATGTAAGATCTAAAAAAAATGTTTTAAAGTAAAACCAGAACATGACTGTACTTTAAATGAAGTATTCACCATTCTAAAATGAGAGGCATTGTGATGGTAAAGGACCACCATCTCAAATAATCTAATAATTTGGGGGAAGGGGACATGTTTCATTGTACATATTCTTTTCTGTTGGTGGTTGTTAATCCTCACCTGAGGATATTTTTCCATTGATTTTTAAGTAGTGTAGAAGGCAGGGAGAGAAGGGTGGAGGAGAGAGAGAGAGACATCAATGTGAGAGAGACACCTTGATTGGTTGCCTCATGCATGATCTTAACTGGGGCCAGGGATTGAACCTACAACCCAGGTACATGCCCTTGACTGGGAATCAAACCCACGACCCTTTGTTCCTGGGTCTGACACTCTTAACCACTGAACCAAACTGACCCAGGCTATACATAGTCTTAAGATCAGTCTTTGAGGTCTTCTACACAGATTGAGGTTATTATTTACTTATAAAGCATTTTATAATGCTTGGGGATCTTAAGCTTCTCTTCAATGTTTTGAGAAATCTCATCATTATAACCACAGTAACACTATATCAAACACATAACCAAAATATTTTTATCTTCAACCTGTCACCTATACATTTCATGCAATTTTTAATGCTTAAAAATACCAAAATGACAATAAAAATAAAGCAAACTAAAACAGTTTGGCTCTGGCTGTGTGGCTCTGTTGGTTAGAGCATTGTCCTATCCTGATCCACCAAGGTTTCAGGTTTCAATCCCTGATCAGAGCACATGTGAGAATCAATGAATAAATGTATAAATAAATAAGTGGAACTACAAATAGATGCTTCTCTCTCCCTCCCCCTCCCTTTCTCCTTTGTTCTCTCTATAAAATTTAGTAAATTTAAAAAAATAATAATTTGGACAGTCCTTTAGAGTTTGTTGTATAAGGATTTCTCCTATAATTGGGAGTTACCAAAGCTTTGCATTATTTTCATGGCACTTTTCCTGACTGTAAATTTTCATATCCTTTAAAAATTGCTTTCCAGATATGAACATAAAAGTGTTTTTAATATAACCAGTTTTGAGAATAATAAATGCTTTCTCATCATAATACAGTGTTCTGTTCTGATTTGGTATCTAACATTATTAAAATGTTACTAAATCTCAATTATGTCCTATGCATTGAGTTTCATTGTCATTTAGTTCTTAAGAAAAGTGTGTGGTATAGATATAGCATAATTTTCCCATTTTCTTTTTTTTTTTAGTTGATTTTCTTTTTTTTTTTAGAGAAGAAGGGACAGGGAGTGAGAGAAAAATATTGACGTGAGAGTGAAACATCGATCAACTGTCTCTTGAACACCCCCTACCAGGGGTCAAGCTGAAACCTGGGTGTGTGCCCTGACCAGAATTGAACCGGCAACCTTTTGGTGCACAGCACCACCAACTGAGCCACACCGACCAGGACTCCCCATTTTCTTGTATGCCACAAGTATATATCAGATCTCCAGTTTAGATTCATGAGCCATATTTTGCCCTTCAAGTATCCTTGTCCTTATATTGAATTTCTGTTTATTACTCATCACCAGGGAATTGATCACAGTAACATTAAAAGGCATTTAATATTCTGAACCCAACATTAAAGATGTTATTATTCTCCAGTGCTTTCATGGTTTACTATCATCTATAAAAATAGGTACCCTGACAGAAAAAGACAAATAAATGAGGTAACCAGTGGAAACAAATAAATATCCTTGGAAACTAGGAAGTGGCTATAACAGACAATCAGGACAAGAAAACCTCAAACAATAATGAGAGATAAAACCAGAAGGCAGTGTTGGTCTGATAAGAATTATAGCTACCACATAATTTGGCATATACTAAATTGCAAGCACCAAAATTAACATGATTTCACTCAGTCTGCATAACATGAGATAGGTGGTATTTGCATTTTACAGATGAGGAAATGGAAGCTTTAAGAGAGGTTGCCTTAGATTTCACAGATTATATCTAATTTCAGAGTCTTCTTGTTTTTTTATAGTGTATGTAATTCTTTACATTGTATGTAATATTTTTATATATCCATTTTTCTGGGGAGAGGCCCATAGATTTCTTAAGATTCTCTAAGGGGTCCCTAGTGAAAAGTCTAAGAAGCACTAAAACTCTTCACTGTGAATTCAGTTCGTTTATTAAAATGAAGAAAATAACTCAGAGATAGTTTGAGTCAATTGAATGAATAAATACGGAGAATCTAGATAGATAATTGAAACTCTGATTCAACTAACATTTATCAAGTTTCTATTATAACACCAGCCATACAGATTATATAGTACTATTTGTCAATCTTGAATAATATAGGTAGGTACTTGTAAGAATTGTTGTGCATAGCCAATGTGACAAACTATTTTTTTAATAAAATTACCCCAATATGTGCTATGTGCCATTAGGAAACTTGTTGTAAACCTGTGCTCGTAGTTCTTTTCTAACTATTAAACTGGATAAAAAAGAAATTAAAATATTCTAAATTAACATTAATTTTAATATAACAAAGAATACTGTTTTGCTTAGCCTAAATTATTTACATCATGGTCTTCCCTGTCGTTCCAAAGTATTGTTACATTAATTTTTAAATTATTTTTGAAATACAATATCAAATGTAAGGATTTTTTATGAGAGATCATAGATATTCAAGAATATGTTAGTGAATCATCAGGATTTGAGAAGCAGACGTTAAGAGTTTGAGGTTTTAGATTATCACAGACCTGGAATTTTATCCAACTAAAACACATGCAAGCTGAATGCCCTTGGACAAGATGCTTAACCTTCCAAGCTTAATTTTTGTTACCTAAAAATTACACATAGAAATATTCATGCTTAACCTCTCCAAGCCTCATTTTTCTTACCTGAACATTGTACATAGAAATATTAACATGCCTTTCAGGGTTGTTAAAACTTTTATGAGATGATCTAATTATCAGCATAATAATATATGGAATGAACCAAACACTCAAAAAAATAGTAGTTGTTATGATGATGATGGTGTTTTTATGTGAAATACCATGTGTAATCTAATAATTTTAAGTAAAGAGAAAAGTAATTATTAAGGAAGCATCTAAAAGGGGAAATGCAAGAAAATCATAGGCTGTATAAAAGGCCATTTAAAAACAACAGAAGCATAAATGTGCTAGCTATCTGTTACATATTTCCTGTTGAAAAAAATAAATCAGGTACGATAGGAAAGTGAAACATATTCTTAAATGATTCCATTTAATAGTATCAACTTGTGATTATGTTTTATTTTGCTACTGCAAGAATAATATTTTTTTAAATAAAATAAACATGTTAGCTAATCTTTTTCAGTTTCTGTGATAGCATCCCTTCCACAATTACTAACAGAATTTTAAAAGGCCCATTACTTTTTAAATAAAGAGATTGTTTACAAGAAGATAGTTACTAAACATTTACAATAATTCTCAAATAGTTTTACATTTTTAATATGGTGTCCACCTCAATGGGTAGAACCTACAGTCAATCAATTAAGGTGTTTTAAAATCACTGCCTATAACAGAGGTAAACACTTCATTTTGTAAAACACTCGTATTTCATTAATGAGTACAGTTAGTTCCTATTAGCTTTAGATCTTAAAAGTTGCTATTTCTGCTATACCTTTGACTGGTGAAGGTGGTCCCCAAACCTTTTTTTCTTTTAATGAAGCAGCCTACAATTAGGAGGAAATAGCTCTTCATAAGCAGAACCCACATGAGTGAGCATAGAACATTTGAATGATGAAACCCAGAGAAAGAGCCAATTGATTACTTATAAACCCAGCAGCTGCCACTGAAGAGACAGTTGATAGTGTAGCACAAAAAGAAGTCATAAAACATAAGACTTCTAAAATAATAGGGAAAACCTTTCTGGTAGCCTCATCCCCAAAGCTAGTTTTTCCTGTTAAAAATCAGGCAATTTTTCCTGTTAAAAAATTTATAAAAAACAAACAAACAAAAAATGCGCTTACTATAATAGCAGAGGAAGTAGAAAGCCTCTATTTTGAATGAACCAACAGCAGACATATTTATTATAGTTTTTTAAGTTAAGAACTTGTATGAGTCTGTGGTTCCTTATGGTAACAAAAATTATGAAAAGGAGAAAGGGAGGGAGGATACAAATTGGGTTCCTCGGACTAGTTCTGTGAGATACTGGTAAGTATTCTGTGATAAAAGTATTCCACTGTAAATTAAGCAATAATGTTTCATTATTGATGGGATTTTTAATATGCTAATATTTGTGTCCCTAAGTGCCTTAGTTCATTTTTATTGAATTCTTTAGGTAATACCTCACAAAACTATGAACTATCTAACTACTACTTTAAGAAAATGCTGTATTTTAAAAGCTGAATTTGGGTTTCCTGCAAACAGAGATTGAGGATTCTCTATCATCAACTTTGTATGAGGAATTGACATGGGATGTGAATTGGATATCACAGATGTTACGAACAGGACCAAATAAGAAATATTTCTCTTATCCATGTAAGAGTAAGGTTTACCAAAACCTTTAGCAAGCACTGGTTGACATTTAATATCATAACAACACTGTAGTTTTAGCTGGACATTTCTTGTAGACATATTTATAACATATTGAATGGGAGTTATCCCATAGCTCTGTAATTGTGATGCCCCAAAGCTGAAAATGAAATGCATCAAATGCTCCACATTGTAAACTAAAATAACTTTAAATAACTGCACAGCATTAACTGAGTAGTGTCACAACCAGCCTTGTAACCACCACCACTACCACTTCTAGCCACTCTTATTTAAACAAAAAAATTAGAGATAAAAAGGAAGACTGGTGGGCAAAGTAGTGTTTGTGGACAAACTGTTCCCGACATGTAGTTGGAGTGAAGGCTGGAGGCCCGAAGAGAATCGCTTCTAAAGATTAGATTTATAAAAGAAGGGGAGACAAATTTCTTTTCTCTTTTGGCTGTATGCTTGGCCATAGGACTCACTGGTCTCCTGGAGCTGAGTATAGGAAAGAACATTTAAACCACGATAGACAGAGAGGTCAGGACAACAGGGATGTAGCCACCATGCCCATCATTTAGTGTGGCAAAAATAATGGAGTTTTCCATAGGTGGCATGAATACCAGGGAAGGTAGGTGGGTTTGAGCCACTTTTGTCAGTATGAGGGCACCATCAAGAAGGAACCGCTGCAGCAAGAGGTATGAAAGAGGTCTAGTAAGCTGGAGCCAGATAACCACCAAAATACCAAACTAATGGTAAACCCTTGCAGATTCCTTCAAAGAGGCCTCACTGGAGATCCTGTCACATAGAGGTTATCAATATCCAGTCAAGGAAAACTGCATTCTCACCCAGTCTTTTTCTTTTATTTGAATTTTTAAAATTTATTTATTGAGGTGACATTGGTTAATAAAATTATATAGGTTTTGCCCTGGCCAGTTTGACTCAGCAGTTAGAGCATCGACCTGCCAATGGAAGGGTCACAGGCTCTATACCCAGTCAAGTGCATGTACCTGGGTTGCAGGCTCAGTCCTGGCCCGGTCAGGGTTGTGCATGAGGTAACTAGTCAATGTGTCTCTCTCACATTGATGTTTCTCCTTCCCCCTCTCCCTGTCCCTCTCCCTCCTCCACTCCTTCCTCCTCCCCTCCCCTTCCCCTTCTTCCTCTCCCTCTTCCTCTCCTTCTCTCCCTTCCACTCTATCTAAAAATCAATGGAAAAATATCCTTGGGTAAGGAGTAGCAAAAACAAGAAAAATATTATATAGGTTTCAGATAAACACTTCTACCATACATCATCTATATATTGTATTGTGTGTTTACACCCAAGTCAAATCTTCCATTGTCATTTGTCCCCCTTTACCCTCGTCTACCTCCCCCACCTCCTTTGCCCTTTTCTCTCTTAAGTAAGGAAACATTTGTCTTTTTCCGTCTTCCTTCTCTCTGCCACAAACCAAAGATTGAAACTTTCAAGTTAACAAGACTGGCTCTTTAATCTTAGATTGTTATTATTCTAATTAAGTAGCTGAAAATCAAAATATGTGTAAGATACTAGAGGAGCCACCACTTTGAAAAAAGGGAAGTTCTACCTAGTATTGTTGGGGAGAGTTTTGGAAAAAATGATATTTTTTGTTTATGCTTGCAACAGTTTGAAACATGTTAGTAAAGAAGACAAATACTTAAAAACATTTATGCTTAAGTTATGTAATTTTTTCCAAAGTGTGGTTTCCATAATTCATTATCAATTTCTTTTGTGAACTTTATAAGTTCTGAAACTTAAAACATCCTTACAAAGTAAGTATTGTAGAGATACATCCATAACTGACAGTTTTGGTGAAGTTTCTGGGACCCAGGAAAAAAACAAAGTAAGCAACATCCTTTACGGAATGATATTCTTAAAAGTTTTGCTCCTTTTCTTTATTTGCCACCCATTATAGAGACAGGCAGTTATGTAATTCAATTCTAATATCGTCCCATAGTCCAGATCTTAAACAGAAAAGTAGGATTAAAAAGCAAAAGAGTCTGAACTACCTCTTTACTTTCACGTTGTCCTTGCTTAAGTTTTTCAATCAAAGGGAATTTCACAGAATTTTAGATCAGTGTCTTTACTTCTAATTC